AGTCTACAACTATGGACATAGACGATATTGGTCAGTACATGTTCAATAAACTTTAATTATTTGAAAAACTTTACATTCCAAAAATATAAAGCATGCGTTTTTTTTATTTTTTTTATTGAATGCTCAGTCCAATTAAAAACTTTTTATTTGATCTGCGCTTGCACGTATGTAGGTATGTAATTCACTATAACTTGCAACTCAATTTTAAGGCAACTATAAGGATAACTACCCTCAATTGAATAAGCTATTATCTTGTTGAGGAGCTCGATAACGTGATATTTTCAGCTTGGGATGCAAATGTTAAACTAATTTCGCAAGTGTTGGTCATAGGATGGGTGACCGAAAATTGTTATCTCGAGCTCCACTATGCTCCGAAAGGCACGTTAAGCCGGTAGTTTCGGCTGCATCTCCATTCGTTAACACATACCGATCCGCGCTGGGTCCGCGTGGTGGGTCATAGCCCAATATCCCTATTCGAATCCATCCATAGAGAGGGCCTGTGCCCTAGCAGTGGGGATATTAATAGGTCTGTGATCATTATCCACTTCAGACCTTGCCAGTTCAATAAATGCTTAAACCAAAATTAAATTTATTCGGTATATTTCAGTACCTCATAGTCAAGCAGATCTGTCTCGCTGCCTTTCCACTTGCTTATATCACATAACAGAAGGCGCTGCCGATCCAGAAGTTATTCGTAAGCATCTTAAAGTGTGGCCGAAGACCCAATTGTTGAGAGCGCCATTCCTATTGGACGTAGCACTAGCCTTATCTGGGAAGGGATCGGATTTTAAATCTGTCTGTTTAGATGTAAGTATTTTATGTACTTTTTTTAACTAGCTTTTGCCCGCGACTTCGTCCGCGTGGTAAAGTTACTTTGAGCAGCATTTCTAACGAATATTTATTTATTCGTTCCATTAGGTACTGAATTTATCAAAATCCTATTTAACGTCTTCATCATAGTAGCTCTAATCTTTAAATTAAGTTCAATCAGTCGAAAATCTATGAAGATTTATACAATTTTTCATCCCCTATTTCATTCCCTTAGGGGTGGAATTTACCAAAATTCTTTTTTAGCGTATGCCTACATTATAAAATCTACCTGCATGCCCAATTTCAGCCCGATCCGTCCAGCGGTTTGGGCTGTGCGTTGATAGATCACTATGTCAGTCTTATTAATTTATTAAAATAACATTTCGTCTTTTCTCACGTTATCATTGTCTTCGCCTGACGTTTCTGTGAACCCAGCGGCTGACATTTCTGAACATAGCATCGGGATTATTATTACATACATACTATTAGCTCGGTGGCGTAGTGGATTAGCGCCGCGGCCCGTGATCGTAGTCGTTAAGCAACTTTCGCAAGGGTCGGTCACGGGATGGGTGACCAAAAAATTATTATCTCGAGCTACTCCGTGCTTCGGAAGGCACGTTAAGCCGTTGGTCCCGGCTGCATTTACAGTCGTTAATATCCTCCAATCCGCATTGGGCCAGCGTGGAGGTTCATGGCCCATCCTCCTTTACCATCCATAAGGAAGGCCTGAGCCCCTGCAGTGGGGATGTAAAAGGGCTGATGATGATGACGTACTATTACAATTGTCAATGTCTTCGACGGTTCTGTGAAGCCAGCGGCTAACATTTCCCAACATAGCATCAGGAAGTTGCCGTTGACGACGACGGGTGGTTAGAGACATCAGCGCCCTACGGATGTATTGTGTGAATATGATATTTATTTTGTAGGTAGTAAGGTCGGCTATAGAATTGCGTATATTGGATGACATACGTAGTAAAGAATCGGCATGGGTTTGCTCAGTGCTGCCACCGAATGTCGATGTAGCCAGTGTACTCAAAGTACTCACTACAGAAAGGTTAGTCTTTGAGGAATTCGACAATCTTGTTAACTTACTGGTCTGTGGTAACTAAGTAGAGCAAGCACTCGGCTAGTGAAATGTCATGGGTTCTATCCCGGCTCGACCACCTGCGATGATTGATTTTTTCGAGTTTTTTTTTTTAATAACATAATCATCTCCATCACCTGTTGATTTCCCCACTGTTGGGAAACAGGCTTTCACTATGGATGGAGTCGAATAGGGGAGTATACTATTACAGCGCGGATTGGTGGGTGTTAACGATTGCAGATGCAGCCGGGACCGATGGCTTAACGTGCTTTCTTACTTCTTAAATTGACAGTTTATTAGTTGGCTGCCCTTTGCTCAGCCGTGTCGTATAACGTTGTGTTCAGCTACTCGGCTTATAGAAAGAAAGCCTGTTAATTGAATGGCTCCATTCAAATAAAGGGCTTGCCGCTCGATTGTTCGGTTGATTATACCACTTGGCTGCGACATATACATATGCATTTAGTAAAAAGTGGTTGTATTAACATTACAAGCAGCCACTCCATTATTTTTTGTATATATCTCGACGCTGGAAAGCAAACACGTAGTAACCTGCAAAACCAAAATGGATATTTAAAGTGAAAAAACTATAAATTTAAAAAAAAAAATCTTTTTTCCGTATAAATAAACTAAGGAAAAATAGGAATTATTTATCGAAAAAAAAAAGTTTTTCTGCTCTGAAGAACAATTTTGGTTTTGCGGGTTACTACTACGTGTTGGTTTACCAGCGGCGATCTATAGACTGTTTTAAGTTTCTTTTTGTATCCGACAGTGCCAATCATCGCCAGCTGACAGTGGTCGGTCTGATAAGTGTTGCATTTTCGTTGCTGTCTGTAGGCAGTAGTAAGGCGAGTAGTAGAGCTTGCTGGTCGCTCGGTAAGCTAGTGTTAGCGAGACTATGTAAAGCTCAGCCGGAGACTGCGCCCCGTATACTAGCCGGACTAGCTGACAGATTAGCGGCAGATACTACTCCGATACAATACGCGGGTAAGGTAATATTTTTCTAACGTAAGATGAAACATTTGTAAGTCCATAATAATACACCGTATGTCATCTTCATCGGTCTAATTTAATTTCTTTTTAACTGACGTTTATAATGAGAATGTATTAAAAAAAAAATTAGTTCCCGAAATCAAACTAGATGTCGCTACGGTACGTTCTTGATTTCTCCATGACAACCTTACCGGTTTTCTTTTTTTAGTTAGTTTTCAAAACTCAATAAACAACTCCTATTCTATTTGTTCTTTTTCTTATTTGTATTGATATCTAACTTTCTAACTTTTCAAATTTAAATTTTTTAATATGTTAGTTAAAAGGAACGGAAATTACTGTCTTTGGTCCATTCGTTTCCTGCAAAAATCAACTTTTGCTAGAGTCGCCTATCTAGTGGAGGTGCTTTTTTAGTGCTTTCGTTTTTTTTTAAATACTTATTCACTTCCTTTAATTAATTTTTAACTGACGTTTAAAAAAGAGGAGATTGTCAATTCGACCGAATGTTTTTTTATGTAGATTTTAATGATTAGTTTTTGTTTGAAACGATAAAAGCTTTACCAAAATTAGGTCTGTTGTAGTATTTTTTACCAAAACAACTGGAAGGACCGTATCATCTAAGTATACATTAAAGCCTGTAGTCGTAGCAAAAAAAATCTTTTTCGAGAAAATTCAAAACATCTTAAAAATACCGGTTTAGTGCGAATTGGAAAGGTTCCGTACCATTATTTTAAAATAAAAGTCAAATGACGTTTTCACGTTTAGCACTCTAAAAAATTTATTTTATTCTATGTTTTAGTATGTCTTATTTTATCGGTCACAGAAACACATCATCTGTGAAAATTTAAATATCACGGTTCATGAGATACAGCTTGATGATAAACGGACAGACAGATGGACGGAAAGTGGAGTCCTAATAATTTAGTTCCGTTTTTATACCATTTCGCCGTACCCAAAACTAGGCTCTAACTCAGGCTATAAAGATGGTTAAAGAGGATGGGCTATTACCTTGCCCGGTGGCCCAATGTGGGTTAGAGGGTATAAACAACTGCAAATGCAGCCGGGATTAACGGCATAACGTGCCTTCCGAAGCACGGAGTAGCGCCAGATAATATTTTTTGATCACCCATCCCGTGACCGACTCCTGCGAAAGGTTCTTAACAAAGTCGATCGCTTATTCAAGGCTTTATTCGGGTCGCGGCGCTTATTAATTACGCCATCGAGCTAGTCGACAAAAAAAATGAATATAATCAAATATATGATATACTAGCTTTCCGCCTGCGGTTTCGTCTGTAGTTCCGTGGGGAACTATTAGTGTTAGTGGGATAAAAAGTAGCCCCTACGTTAATCCTAATTTAATAATTCATTTGGATAAGGTTTCATATCATATCAATTGAATAGTAAACAATGGTTACGTTGGTAACGTTTTGATTCCCTATACAAACTTCCACTTCAATTTTTATCCCTTTTTTAGGGATAAAACATAATCTATGTCTACCGCTTAAGACGTAGCTTCCCGTAAACAAACAATCACAGTTTTCCTCCTTGTAATATTAGTACTAGAAATACAGACTGCTAAAATTAAATTTCAACAAAACAGAAAAAAAAACTGCGTGCATAATTGGTTCTCACACAAACTGACTGTGATGGTAAGCTAGTCCATATCCCTTTCCTTTTGGACTAATGTTATAATGTTAAGCTCCAAATTTCTAAGTTTACCTCAAATTTTTAAGTTTATCAATATAACTGGAAGACGCAGCTGTGCCTCAGTTTAATACTAGTACAGCTGCCAACGGTAACCTTGAATTATGGTGTGCATATACAATAAACTATTGTAACTAGGTAAATTATTTGTAATTTACCTATTTACCTATTTGAATTGCTCAATAAATTATTATTATTATAGATATATTTTTCCTTCGACATCGTTTTTCCGCATACAGATTGCCTACTGGTGTTATGCAAGTTGACCCCCGTGTCTGTGGAGCGGTGCACCCAGCTAGGCACGATCCTGGAGGGCTGCCAGGTGTGCGGCGGCGAGTACAGAACCGCGGCCGCCGTACTCGACGCGGTACATCCACTCATCAACTTCAGCACCAGGACTAGAGACACGCTCGTCATGGTCTGCAGGAAGGGACTCTACTCGAGGTTCATTCATAATTTTCTTTTTTTTTGTATAAGTTTTAAATTTCCTTTCAGTCCAACCACCGGGTTTATGATGATGCCTAGTTGTAAAAGTAGAAATTCAGTCAGTCAGTCAGATAACTTACATATATATATTTTTAATATTATATATCTTTTTATGTTAACCTTCCATCGTGAATAATAGGGTAGTTTTGGAAGTGAAAAATAAGTCACGAAATTGCACAGAAACTAAAATTTCCATAGTTATAGAAATTCTGTTTTTGAGTCTTAAAATCGCACGATTATATTATTATGGCCAATAATAGTTTAAAATTACATATTATTTTATTACAGTGTTAATTCATAAATTTATTTTGTATGCCAGTTACTTGAGAAAAACAAAGTGGTCTACTGATTTAACTTATTCATTTATTGCCAACGCTAGGGCCAACCTCGTATTTAAATTTGCGTTTATTTCATGTGAAAATATTAATTTTTCCAAAATATGTATTATATGTACGCACGATCCGTGACATAAGACACATATTCGAGGATATTTTGTGTACGACAGTAGTACATGTAACAATGGTTTATTGCGGGTATGATATTTGGGAGTACGAAAGGTTAATCTCGACAGTTAGCACGGACAATCAACTCTACTATTGATAGGGGTGTACAGACAACGTTTTTATATTTTTATTTTATAGATATACATGAAATATATCTAAAAAAATATTTTAAAAGTATCGTTCATATAATAAGTGAAAATCTAAAAATCAATGTAACTTTTCATAATTTCCCGCGAAAATGCCAACTTTCTGTCATAGCGTCGCAATGCCGTCACACCTCTCTAAATCTAATATCGTTCTGAGTATGCATAAAGCGAGCCGATGTAATCGACAGCAAGAACAGAGGACTGTATATAATTAAATAATAATAACTTTTAGCACAGAGAGACATTTATTAATCAACGTACAAAAAGCAAGATACATTGACAAAGTCAAAAAAATAAAAAAAATATAAATTAAAAACAAGTATAAAAGCCTCCTTAAAGAGGCCAGTAATAATATTTCAAAAGCATGGTAAGGCTGTCGGCAACATCCTCCCCTCCTGTGGCGAAGCCACACTCAATGAAGAGATGCCGACAACCTCACCAGTTTGGTGAGTGGTCGCCGTAACCTACCGCCTAGCGTGTCCACCTCGGCAACTCTTACTATACCGTCACGCCCAGGAAAAAGACAAACAACACGACCACGAGGCCATGTTCCCCTAGGCATGGAAGAATCGACGAGTAAAACCACGTCTCCGACGGCAAGCTCAGACGGCCGGTGACCAGAGGTTCTCCTGGGAACCAGGGTTGGCATATATTCTTTAACCCACCTACCCCAAAACATATCGGCTAAGCGTTGTGCCTTTCGCCAATCACTGCGTCCCAAGAGGTCCCCATCATTTAAATGCGGTGGGATTATAGTATGAGGTGAAGATGAACCTATTATAAAATGAAAGGGCGTTAATGACTCTTCTTCTTCCGTGGTCCAAGTAAGAGGACGACTGTTAATAATGGCCTCTGCCTCTAATAGAGCCGTGTGCAAAACTTCTTCTTTTGGAGCATGCTCGTTTAGTATCATTTTAAGTGCCGTTTTAACAGATCTTACTAATCGTTCCCAAGCTCCTACCAGTATAAAATATTTGTTTTTTTCATAATTATTTTGAGTAATATTATAAATATAATAAGCATAAAAGTGTGATTATCGGTAATAGTATATTAAATACTACCAGAAAAAAAAATAATATGTATTTATTTTCCTTCACTGTCTACACACGCGTTTCAGAGACTCTGTCCACCGCTGCCTAGCTTTGTCTGGTTTCTTGTCGGTGTTACGTCACGTGAAGATATCACGTAACACTCTGGTGAGCAGCAGTCAGAGCGTGTGCAGCGATCAGTACAGCGCTTATTCGTATCTAACTCAAGCGGCTGTGGAACTGCACGCTACCCAGCAGGGAACCTCGTGAGTGCAGTAAAATATCAGTCATATTTCGTTATATATATAGTTACTAGCTGTTCCCGCGACTTCGTCCTGCCTTATAGCCTATTTCATCCGCGTATGAACTTCTCGTAGGTGAAAGCATTTTCATGATCATGAAGACTACCTCCTACGAACAGGCCTGGATTTAGAACTTTTCTCAGCCGGGGCAGAAACTTGACATTGCCCCCTCCCACACACATATTTTTCTAAGTGCATATATGAATTTATTTCAAATTACATTTTGTGAAGCTAGTTTTTTAATCCCCCCCCCCCCTCCTCCTTAGATCCGGCCCTGCCTACGATCAAACAAAGGTAGAAACTTTACCTCTTTTATTATTATATACAATATTAGACAGATGGATTACTGACGCTCACACTACATTTTTTTCTCTGGGAAAATATATTTCACAGATACTTAATACATTTCGCCTGATATGATACCGATACGGATAGCGAAGATTCAAAGAAAGCTCGAAAGGTATAGAAAGGCATAAAAACAAAAAAATCACATTACAGCTGTTAAAATTATTACATACCAACAAGCAAGGGGCCGTCCATTAATAACGTGATGTTTTTTTCAACATTTTTTGACCCCCCCCCCCCCCCTCCTTGATGATACATGGTGAGGTTTAAGACTACCCCCTCCCTCAACCAAAACACGTGTATTAAAACAAAAAAACTTAATTTTTAATGTCGCTTTTCGGTTTAATAATCGCGCATCGAGGCAAAAATAAATACACGTGATATATTACTACACTCCCCCTACCCTCTTGTGATATTTCGTGATTTTTTTGCGAATCCTCCCCCCCTTTTCGAGCCTCACGTGATTAATGGACGGCCCCCAACTAGCGAAATAGGCTATGTGAAGTGGACGTTCACACGAGTTATTTGTAGCGCTCGAAATTCAATAGTTATCGATGTCAAATTAATGTCGCCGTTTTAGATACATTGCAAACTCGCAATATCGGTAGCACTGTTGGATGCATCCCTAGTTGTTTATTAATGAATTAAAGAACAGATCGAGACACTTTAATGAATAGTCCAAGACACTTTTTTTTTTTAATTAATCAACAGGATATAAGTTTTGTACATTCTTGGTATATTTAAGACTGCTTAAGAATCAATATATATATATTAAACAAAGTAGCTTTCCCTATGTATGCTTATTAAATAGATAGGGTGATTCAAAAGGGAGATTTTTATGTAATATAATACAGCACCACGTGGACGAAGCCGCTGGCGGAAAGCTAGTTATCAATAAATGAATTGTTGCTAATGTTTAGGGTGACGTCACGTGTTCGAAACGAAGCCATGTGTATGGAAGTCGTGTCTATATTACGCCGCTGTCTCGTACAAGATGCGTCCGTCAAACAGCTGCTTTATACAAGTAAGAATTTTTAAACATTGAAGTAAATTATTTTGGTTTCGGCTTCGGGTCATCAAAACTTACATTTAATAATAACAGTAGATATACCTATATATTTTTTCCGATATACAAAATAATCGTTACAAAAAAAATAAATTACACAGTTGCAGTTCACAGTTATACAGTTAGGGAAAGTCGTAAAAATCTCTATAATATCGAATTTATTTCGTATATGCATACAGATGTGGTTGGATGTCATTATTGTAAATTTTGTATTTATAAGACACACAATATTACTATAATTATCTTACATTAAAATTAGTTATATATCTTATATAAAGCAGTTAAAATATATCTACATCTGCCACCATTTCAAATATGATTTTAATTACGAAATAAGTAATTATTTGATTTATCCCAGATTAACAGTATCAAAATAACAGATTGTTGGCTAAACACTGTTATTTTCAGAGTTGTACGACTGTGCCAAAGACAAAACAGTGTTGCACGAGTCTATTCTGGAACTGTTGTATGAGCATATTATCAAGTATTTGTCTGATGCCGCTCCCGCAACGATCTTGTTCGACAAGTGCGTGCAGGTGAACGCTACTTCAGCTATTTTAACGGTATGTACCTACACAATTACCACAACATGTCAAATTTCTCCAGTTAATTCTAAACTCTACCCAGAAAACATTTAGGTTTAAAATAAAGTAGAGAAATTTGACAGATTTGTATATCCTGATATGTTGTTGACTGTTATACACAGCATAATAGCAGGTTACTATAAAAGGCCAGAAATCTGCAATCAATTTTGAACTTAATTGTAAATGGATTAGAGTGAAATGGTAACTTACATGTAAACAATAACTGAAAATTTTTGTTTTAAAATAAATTTGAAGCAAAACTTACATGCGATTTATTTATCTGTGGATTATAAGAACCGAAACGCGGGTGGCCATGACGGAGTGTGAAATCTTATCAAAACTAAATGTCAACGTCTTTGTTAAAAGTGAAACCAGGGCCCTCAATTCTGCTAATTTTTACGTTAAAATACTAACTACTTTAACTACTCGCATTTGACCATTGTCTACCTGAAGTGCAATATTAGTGAAATGTCTTCGTTACAAATCAATGGTGACAGATATATTTATTATTTTGTGACCTAGTAACAAGAATTGTGTCATAAAGGGTTAGTTGAAGCGCTATGACTTTTCATAATTATGGTAAACATTAGCAGAATTGAGTACAGCAGGACTCATGTTTATTGAAAAGTGACGTCACGAGACTGATTGTTTTAGATGGTCAATTTAAATTGCATTGACGAAAAATATGTTTTCCTTCATTTAATAACACTTTTTGGAGTAAAATAATAATGATAGTGGTTTAATATGATCGTTTTGAAAGTTTTAAAATACTTTTCCCAATTGTCAAGTAGCTAATTGTTGAAACATTATTTATTTTGCGGTTCTGTTTCTTTGATCTCCATAGCATTTATCGACATGGTAAAATATCGATACTGATATTTCGTTCCAGGAGCCTATCGGTCATCTTCTATACATAGTGGCGCAGTACCTTCAAAGCGAGGAGGAAGACTTAGAAGATATCTTGTGTAGTCAGGACATCGATACAGGCAGTGCTCATCTCAGGAGTAAGCTGAATACTATTATGGAACAGCTTTGTAACGACTTGGGGCATGTTGATATGGTGAGTTATTGCTAGTTATGCAACAACTAAATCTACTATTTGGCGAATACGTATTATTTTTAGATTCAATAGGTAAAATTTACCACTGACCGGTTGCTCCAATAGAGTTATTGGACGTTTTTAAAAAATATTTTAATATGAAAGTTTACAGGTTTATGTCCAAATCAAATTTTTCCACAAATCATACAAGATAAGACTTTTACGTTTTAAACCCTAAGGAAGTCACGATTAAATTTCTTTATAATTGTTCAATGATGTAGATCCATGAGTTTTGACAACGACACTGACAGCTGATACATTGATATGACGTTATACGGCTCCGATTTTTTTTTGAAGACTATGATAAGACTCAAACAGTTATGTGGAAAAAATAAAGGCGCTCGCGGCTTGAAACGTATATTTCTTCTTTTTAAATATACTTTTATACACCACTGCTTACGGTCGTCCTCAGTTATTTGTCCTCCATTCATCTTCCTTCTTGCTCGCTGATACCCTTCCTTTTCACACATACATACATTCCTTACCACACATTTCAATCATCCTACAGTTATGTGCTAAATTCTTTCCGGATACCTGTTCTAGGATGATCCCGGCGTCACAGATCTGTCAGCGGAATCCAATGCTAAGTATGTAAAGTTCCAACAAGTGTTACAATGTTACGAGGCGTTGATAGCTAATCGCGTGATGCAGTGGCGTGTTGATTCTAAAGATGTCGCCAGCTCTGTGTATAACATGTACAAGTCGTGCCATCAAATACTTGAACAGGCTAAGGTATGTATAGCTTCTTAATTATTTTATACATTCCTTTATTCACCTTTCTTTGCGGTAAAAAATATGTTACTCTTTCCCATAATTCAGCTTATTTGTTTTCTAAAATGAGGATAAAGAAATACAAATTTCTAGTTACATATTATTATTGATTGCTCTTCAGTAATAGGGGTGTAAATAACTTATTTTTATCTTTTCATATTATATAGATATACGTAAAATATATATAAAAATATAATAGTTAAAATCTAAAAATTAATTTATTTTTTAAAATTTCCCGCGATACAGCAATCTTCTGGCGCTATGACGTCACGTTCCTTTCGCCCTTCTAAAATTAATATCGTTCTATGCATGCATAAGGTTTAAATTCTATGTTCTGATATGAGTAAGAGGGGCTTGATGTCACGCGCTGTTTGCGGTGACGTGTATAAAGTATTTGGATTTTAATAATTAATTTAAGTAATATTATAAATATAAAGGTGTGAATATCAATAATAATATATTTACCTACTTACCAGAAAAAAATTAATAGGTATTTATTTCACGCGTACTGTCTACACCCATATTATATTCACAATAACAAATTTATGATATTTACAAAAAATAAATGTTTTGCATGTATGGAAATTATAGTACATGTATTTTCTACACAGTAACACGCACAGAGATTTAGTGTAGGGTATGCAGCATGTACATAGATTTTTCAGGGTAGGGTATGCAGCATGTACATAAAAATAGAAAAGTTTTGCCAATTTTCAGCATAGTTTCAGTACCAGAAAAGTGATCAAAACAAAATGGCGAAAATGTTTACACGATACACCGGCCTAATTAAATAGTCCCTTTACGCGAATGCTACTCTTTTGATGTCTTCTTAATTTAATCAGGTTACGATAAGCAGTGCCTCTCAAAATCGTAACACATCATGCATTTTACAAACACATATGAATGTGTTCTGAGTACAACACGAGGTTTGACCTATCATATTTATATGGTGAATAAGCTGTAAGAAGTATAGCTTACGGCCGCAACGGGGCGGCGTCGTCAGCGAAGCGGTCGGTTGAAAATATTCCGCTAACTGGAACATTATAGTAATTCTATCTATTTTTGATAGATGGCACTTTTACTAGTTTAACCAAATCATGATTATGAGTCTGTTAGTAAGAATTAAAACCATATGTAGGTTTAGTTGGGTTTTATGGGTAGGGTATGCAGTGCTTATTTGCATGTATGGTGTGCACGCCATTGTTTTTAAACTTTCTTAAATCTGTATTTAATAACAAATCAACATATATTTATTTTAATATAAATATTAGAGAACTCTCTATACAAATAAAAGTGCATGTTTTCAATAAAATATGAGCTAATTTCAACACTGCAACAAAATTAATAAAGCATTAAAGTCGACCATTTAATCGACTGTCGAGAAAGTTCTGAAAGTATTTTTCATCGTAGACACCTGCAAAATCAGCGAAGAAAAACAAGACGTTGAACGAAACCAAAGAGACAATAAAATCACAAAAAAGTCAAAAATCACAGAAGAAAGGTCCCATAAAGTTGTCCAGTTTAACTAAAGATCGCACTGGGCCGTTTAAAGCTCTGCCGTGTGTTTGGGACCTTAGATTTTGCGTGAGGATCGTGGAACTTTTGTACAGGTAATGACTAGACTTATATTATTAAAATATAGCTGTTAACCGTGGTTGGTTCAGCGGACATGTTTTTCAGGATAAATAGCCTGTTTTGCCCATAAATCTATACCACTACAAAAATATACTATTTTGATGTTTGGTTGTGACGTAACAGTGGTAAAGCGTGAACATTTTATATTAGATACAACATTTATTTTGTTGACGAATCTTTAAAAATATTTTTATGCTCTTGATTCGTCCTGTAGGGTAGAAATTAATACACTAGTACGTGTGACGTCATATTCAAGTAAGTACGAGTACAAGTAACGCATAATTTGTACGTAATGCATGATTAGCGCAGGAGCTGCTATAAGTGCCTATGTTGGGTTTTATTTAAGATTAAAAGTATAAAGCCTTTAAAATTATAAGGAATTTACGGTCTAAACCAAAAATTCCGCTCATAAAATTTGACGCGCACAACCTTTCCGCGTAGCCTAGCCAACCTTTCTTAAAGCGGCAACAACCAAGACTAATTTATATTCAACACTAGGCAGGGGTCGGCAACCTCATAAGACAGAATAGCTGAAAAATACAAATAACAAAATTTCAGTTTTTAAAGAGTCACTGAAAAACTACGTTTCAGTATTATTCGTAATTGGTAATTTATTTAAGATAAAAGGTTTTGATAGTAAAATAATATTTTTGTTGTAAATGTTTCTTTGGAGCTGCAACTTTATATTGAAAGAGCCGATGTTTGCCGAGCCCTGATAGATCTATAGTCTATGGCATGTGTGGCCAACCAGTCGATCGCAACTATTAGTCCAGTCGAACGTGGCAATTCAAAAAATATAAATAGTATCAAAATGCTACATAATTGTGTACGAACTATGCTGTTTCATTTTAAGATTTTAAGAAGTAAGATGGTAGATCGTACTGGGTGTCGTCAGTGAACTTGTTTAGATCTTGGGTCTAAACAAGTTGGCCACCCCTGGTCTATGGGATTTGTTGTCGTTTGTGGATAAGTTTTTATTTTTTAAATAGGCAAGGAAATTGATAAATGACTTTTATAATTATTCCAATGGACTTCCTCAAGGTAATGCGTGACTCGGTTATATAATCATTTACTGTCCTCATAGCGAAACCGTGGAGTGGTCTTCGCTGGACCAACGCAATGAGTTGAGAGGTCGTCGCGATTTCCATCATTGGACATTAAGATGTGTAACGTCTGTGTTATGCAACGAACATTTGGATAAAAGATCTGTCACTTGTTATGTGCCGAAATTGGCTACTATACTTTACCAGAGATGTATATGCAGGTAATAAATAAATTCAAATTTTCTAATAATTATTAAATATTTCAGACACTTCCGATTTTTTACAGGTTTCGTATTCAATAGACTGAGATATTGCTTGTTAATTTTTATTATAAGATTACAAACAGCTCAGTCTAGTGAACATAGAACCGGGAAGGTCAAATGTAACAATTTTTCAAAAATACACACGATAAAATAGTTTAAGTTGTTTTATTTAATGTTTTATTGAGTAGTACGCATGAAAACAAAATAAATGAATTATGGTCATCTTAGTTCTGATATCTAAGCTTCAAGTAAATATTTTAGAATTAAGGCACAATTATATACATATATATTATATTGCACTTCCAACGTATTAAGAATTCAAATATAATTTTCAATATCTAAACGTCTTGTTTTAGGTTCCAAGATATGTGCCACTTCGATGATCAGACCACGTTGAACTGCATAGAAGTGTTCAGAGCTTGTCTAACATTGTTGCTGTCACCAAGTTATTCTCTGAAAATTGAGAGCTTCTTACCGATCATAAGTAAGCTTTGTCTATACTAAAATTATAAAGAGGCAGAAGAATAGAATAGAATAATTAAATAGAATAGAGTTTTAAAAGAGGTTATACAGACATAGACGTTTCGCTGATGATATTTCTCATTAGTTATACGTAAGTCTACAAGGCACTAAAGTTATAAAATTGACTTCTGGTTGTAGAGTGTATGCCCGGTGGCGGTGGCAGTGCCGGAGTATCTCGGTCGCGTGGTGGATGAGCGCTGTGGCCCGCGATCGTTAATGCTAAGCAACTCTCGCAAGGGTCGGTCACGGGATGGGTGTCCAAAAAAAAATTATCTCCAGCTACTCCGTGATTCGGAAGGTACGTTAAGCCGTTGGTCCCGGTTGCTTTTGCAATCGTTAATACCCTCCAATCCGCATTAGGCCAGCCTGAAGGGTTATGGCCCGTCCTCCTTAACCATCCATAAGGAAGGTCTGAGCCCCTGCAGTGAGGATGTATAAGGGATGATAATGATGAGTATATGCACAATAAAGAGCATTTCATTTATTAAATTTCAAATAAAATTAATTATAAGTAATTGTATCGAAATAATTTAGCGGGCGTTGAGGATACAGTCGCGTCATCAGGCATATCCGATATACTGGAACAATTGCATACGGCGTTGGTCCAAGTTGAAGCGGATAGCGACGTGGAGGAGCGAGACGCGTTTATGAAGAAACACGTCGCCGCCCTCGTACAGACCGCAGCCCTACTCCTCGACACGCCTGTAATCGTTTGTCAAAAATTGAGCGGGGTGAGTGATTTACAATTACTTTGAGAGAATTAATAAATACACTTTACAATAAATAAGTATCTGTGTATATAAATAAATAAGCTGCTGTGCTCTGGAATAAGCTGCCGTCTGCTATTCGACATGCAAAATCTGTTGCCATTTTCAAAACTAAATTGCATAAGCATTTTTTGAATTTGTACCTATAATATATTGTTTACCTTGTAATTCTCATTTTTGTTTAATTTACCTTCATTATCAATCAAACTACTTTATTCTCTCATTATATTATTTTTGGCTTTTTTTTTTTCTATTGTACTACTGGCACACTACCTCCGGTTTTCCCATCTAAATATTACACAAATCAAAGGTTGTCTGGAAGAGATCGCTTTTAGCGATAAGACCGCCTTTGCCCACCCTAGCATTTGTACCTGTATTGTTAATCTATTATTAATAATTGTGTGAGCAATAAAGTGTATATCTATCTATCTATCTATGTTCGCCTGCGTGCGGATAAAATTCTTTGTGTATCGCCGTTTGGCATTTTGACTTATAAATATTTCACAAAATAGTTATTTAAGATACGAGTGCGGAAAGTAAGGTTTTACGAATAAGGACCAAATTGGCATTGGCACGAATTCGAAAAACCTTTTACGCTCAAGTTTCTTACAACATTTTTTAATACTTTTTACGAGGAAATGAAACAAATATATAGGTTTATAAAACTTAGTATGTATTAAAGTAAAAATTATTTTTTAAAATTAAACGTAATATTTGAACATGTTTTCGTGTCATACATTTTTATTTGAAAATATTCGTTCTAGGCTCCTTGAAATACCTCTAAAGTTTGACATATTTACATCAATTTTTTTTAATTTCTTTGGTGCTCAGCCAAAAAAAAAAAAATACTTTTAAGCACGTGTGCAGTAAAGGATTTCAGTACATTTTTATTTAACACTTACGATTAAAAAAATAGCAACTGCATTGAAAATAAATTTATGACCCTTATTTTGAAAATATTACATTTTGAAAACTTAAAAAGAGTGGGAAAAATATATTACTAATATTTGCTAAAATACATGTGGCAAATTAGTTGCATAAAACCTTACAACTTTTATTATAACAGCTATAAACAAACGCACAAATAACAAATATATATCAAAGAACACGTATGGGCACATACGTGTTTCGCTACCGTAGTACAGTGTGACGTCTCTTAGTGCTTTGAATTTGTAGGCAGCGTTTTCGGCCGACTAGCAGCATTTCCACAAACATAGCACAGTATCTCCAAAACGGTTTAACGCAAACATGCTGTTGCTTTACTTTATTTCTAGATATTGTCTCTCTTTTAATAAACCAACGTCAACCTAACAATGTGTTTGGATTTCACCTATAATTAGCAAGCAAGATACCTCAATGGACTACTTATTTATTAAATAAAGTTGTCAACTGGCCTATTATGTAGAGAACTTACTATACATAATCCTACTAAAAGAAACTATAATGACGATGTACATTAAAACTCATTGGAATTTATACGACATTGTCTAAAAGTTGTAATGGCGACTGTAAACTGACGTATTTTTAATAAATAAATAAAAATTTAAATTGTTATAGGTGATAATAAAATACGAGGAGTACTTACGTACAAGTAAGGTGGATTGTCTCGCGCTGGTGCCGTCAGTACTGGCGGCAAATGCGCGCGCGCAACAAGAAGCCGCGTTGCTCACATTAATTATAGATAAATTGGCCACTGCACTAGGCAACATCGATGTAAGTACATGTTAAATCTATACTAATATTATAAAGCTGAAGAGTTCGTTTGTTTGTTTGAACGCGCTAATCTCAGGAACTACTGGTTCGAATTGAAAAATTCTTTTTGTGTTGAATAGACCATTTATCGAGGAAGGCTTTAAGCTATATAACATCACGCTGCAACTATTGGGAGCGAAGAAATAATAGAAAACGCGGACGAAGTCGCTAGCGGCCACTAGTAACTTAATAGAAATACGGTAAAACCTGTTTTAGACGATTTTATAAGGGCCCGATTAAAACGCGTCTTATGTGGAATAGTGAAAATAGAGTTTTACCAACAAATAATACTTACCTCTGATTTTTCATCAATAGTCGGAATCCATCATGATCAAGCAGTTATTTCTAACGTATAAGTCAGTATTTCCGGTTCCCCTCCGACAGTGGCGCGCTCTCTCCTTGACAAGTCAGCTTGAATTACGTAGTGTATAAAAATATAACTGTTTCTATCCGTCGTGATGGAGAACTATAATAGGGAACTGTGCCTGAAAATTCAACTGAAAATGAATACCGGAAAACAAATAATAAAAATTTACTTTTATGTTATTTTAACAAATGCATTGCTTTATTATAATACAATCACTTATTTTGACATGACAGACTTATGAGTTTAAATATACAAAACACCATATGATAGTTCATTTTTTAAATGAAAATCCATTTTGTTTACCCCACAAATAACGTCACGTCTCGCAGTTATTACTTACGCGGTTTTTTTAAACAGTTAAATTTTTCGAAAAGATCACTTTTCGCGGTAAGACCGCTTTTGCTCACGTTAATCATAAAATATCAGCTTTTATTATGTGTTTGATAAAGTGTTTGTCCATTAATTAAACAGGAAGAAGACACATCGGCCGCCGAGGAAACCGGTAACTTTCCCAGTATAGACGCCCGTACCGGTCACTCTGTACTGAATCACGTGTGTTTGCATCTTAACAACCGGTTCAAACATACAGAACATCTGTTAGCACGAGCTAGAGATTTGGCGACCGCACAAAATTACGCCGTCCATGGAAATAAGCAAAGGATCGAAAGAGGTAATGTTTAAATAATAGGACCCTTTGGCAGGCCTCTGTAGGTCCATAGAGCGAATTAATACCCGCTGGATTCATAGATTCATAGAGGGGAGTTACATAAAGGTTCTGTGTTCGTGTAAGAATAAATTTATTTTGATTTATTTTAATAAAGAAAAACGGGTTTTCCGAAAAATTGCGCTTGATCCCAGTAGTGTCAGGGACTAATTAATTTATCCTCAGATCTGAGCCCATTAGATTCGATATAAAGAATAACATAACACCAGAAATTAAATTGTTATTTAAAAATGTATTATACAACAATAAATAACACGAAAACATGTAAAAAGGAAGATTTGTGAGAGAGAAGTAATCCTAAGAGAATATCTATTAATTAATTTCGAAAAAATGCAATAAGATCGAAAACTGAAGCTCGAGGTGTTGTGCGTGATGTATCCAGTTTTGAGCCAGGTGTCATTTCAAATTAAACGAGTAGTAATATCTAGCATTGAATGGCTATTACTACTTGTTCGATTCCTGAGGAGTGACGTCACGAAGCTCGCGGAGAGAAAGGTCATGACATAAGCTGAAGGCAGTACAGCTGTAGTGGAGGACGAAGTGATGAAGCACAGGTCATGGAGACTGACTCCCAATTTGTTGAGTATTAAAGTCGCGAGGATACTCAACGACTATGTTACTGTTTGCGATGAATCTCTGGTCTATTACTGGTTATACGACGACTGGTACATATTACTATGAGTAGTAGTTAGTATTAGTACTACGACACCGAGCCCTACTACTTCTCCGAATCATTACAATACTAATTTAATCTTAGTACATACTAGTCATAATTAACATGACACCTGAATGCATATTCTATTTCTACGAAAATGAAGTTTCGTCTATTTTTGTAGTGCTAATACGAATCCAAAGGAATGTATTTTTCGCTAATTTATAATGCAACACAGTTAGGACCTGACACTGCTGATGCACAGATAATCTTCGCGTATATGATTTTAATAAAATTAGGGGCCATCCATAAATTACGTTACACCTTAGGAGGGAGGGGGGGGGGGGACACCTCGACGAACTAATACGAATTATACATTAGAACAATATTTAGTAGAATTTGTATAGACAAACATGTGACAGAAGGGTGGGAGGGGTTTAAAAATCATGAATTTTGTGTGACGTAATTTATGGACGGCCCCTTTTATGAACGATTCGACACTTTCCGAATTTTCGTTCGAGGACAAATAGAATAGGCCCGTGTCATATTAATTCGTACGAGTTATATATTGTATGTGTTTGTTATAGAACTGAAGGAGTTGTACAAGTGCCTAGTGATCCAGCTGTGTCAGTTGACTATTTGGACTGGTAGATCGTGCAAGGTGCGTTGTTGTATCGGCAGTGGTAGTGATCGTGTATTATTGGCCGCCATTGGACTGTACTCGTTACTTGCCACTTTCTTCAAGCAGACGCCGGTTGATATGGCTCCTTCGCTTAGGTAAATAAGTTGTTAAGTTTTATAAAATGACATACTTTATTATTTTAAGGATGAAAGGAGTTAAAAAAATAGTAACAATGGACAAAAACTGCTATTTTAATGAGAAAAGGAAAGAAAAAGGAATTGGGGAAATTAAAATTTTTACACTAAATGAAAAAAGAAATGGCAAATTCTCAGTATCTCGAAAAAAAGACCAAAAATCGGGTTCAGAAGACCGATTACGTCTTCTGAATAAGTACTTATATAAGAGATTTGGTTTTACCTGACCAAATAGCAGTGGGGACTGGTAGAGGTTACTGATAATGATTATGATTCAACAAATTATATAGTTGGTATACTAACAAAAATATGTCACCAAGCTATATCTCATGAGCCGTTACAGCTGGACAGTTAAGATTTCATAGAAACAGAATAAAATAAATATTTACCCACAAACAAACATACTTTTTGGTATCCTTCGTGTGCAATTGGCGGTTTTTCTCGTTTATCTCTAATAACGCTAAAAGGGTAATAAAAAGGCGGCCGTATCGGAAACAGGCAAAAAAATCAGGTTTGTTGTATGGGGTCCGCCTTGAATATTTGTATAATACTCTTAATCAAAAATTAAAAAAACTATTTTTTCCCTAGCACTTTGGGATAGGACTCGAACCTATGACCTTTCTCAGTCCGGGCGACTGCTGAATAACTAGCTTGCCGCTTTGAATCATCCTGTCTATGGAAAAAAAACCGCATCAAAATTTCAATGATTTTGGGACATAGAGATATAGGGACAGAGAAAGCGACTTTGTTTTATACTATGTAGTGATATTAACCAGTCGAAGTGAGTAAAATCAAAAAATGGTTGTAATGTAATTAAAAATAACAATAAAAAAATAATTCACCCAATAATTATTTTTTAAAAAATAAATTATTAACCAAAAAGTCTTTATTCTGCTTAAGAAAATATTTTTACAATTACAAGTAATGTAGTTTTCAATATTCGATCAATTATTAATCACAAATGTTTCACTCGGCCCGGCCGGTGAGTAGTGGCCGACTCCCTCCCGCATTTGCCTTACGCCTCGCTTCATACTCATTCTCTTTACCTCACCTCAAATGAGGGGCCCAACGAGGTCCTCACTCTAATAGAAACGTGTGAGTTACACAACACTAACAGCCTGGTGACCAGACACAGCAAAGACCTCCTCCAGGTCCTCACTCATCCTCAATAAAAACTTTGACAGACAGCGAAGTCTCAGTAATAGAGTTCCCGTTTGGCCCTTTTTTTTTGATGCTGAGAAATGCGTTACGCATACCCGCTACAACCAGCGCGGGCTTCACGGGTTATGTGGGACTCCTCCTGCGGCCCCACCCCCGAAGGGGCTAGACAAGAAGCAGGAGTTTACCCACTAAAACTCAGCGATGTCCCTCGCATGGAAGGCGATGCGCGGGATCGGCCCGAAGGCCATACACCGCGCGATATGAGTACGGAACCCTAAAATATCGTGATAATAATTTGTTCCTGTTCATGTAATATCAGATTGGAGCGCCTGTTGAAGTTGGGCGGCAAGAAGTTGTCCTCTATAACCGATACATTGGTCACATACTTGGAGGCGTCGCAGCAGCCGAAGCACGCTCGCGGAGTCCTTCGAGATACAAAACTGATACCTCGTCTCGTTCTAGAGGCGGAGAACTTCAGCAAGAATGCAATACTGCTCGCCAACAAGGCTAAGGTCAGATGGCTTTAATTAATTTATTTTCTTATTTGGGTTGGCAACAGTTTATACTAATTTATTCTTTCGATCAACAATACAACTAGATAACGCCTCGCATACTAAAACAATAATCAAATACGGCACTATACACTGCGACAACCAAGGAATATAATATCACATAGACTACTTATATACTGTGATAAAACTATGCTTTTAAGTATTAAGTTGTGTTGTCAATTTTATTTTTCTGAGTAAAATATACGTATCCCTATTTATGTACGTTGTTAATAAGGTATTACGGTACGGTACTACGATACCGCGTTTCTAGACAATTTATAAAGCTCGACCGGGAATATTACCTGGGGCCGTAAAGGTAGACACACTTCGAAACTGGGGCGCGAGCCACTCCGCCGCGGAGGTCGTCGACCTTTTACTATTTTTACTAATGGTAGGCAATGCAAAATATAAAAAAAAAACACTATAATATGCAGCCGTTTGATTGTCTGTCAAAGGCTCATCACGTTCACGTAAAACATTTAACGTACCCTTTAGCGGCTCAGATTACGTAAAATGCTCATTCATTGAAGGCTTTTGTGATAATTTCTTTAAATTGTTTAATAATATTTATATTTTTTGGCAGTTATAAGAAAAAAAAAGTAATAACAATAACATGTAAATAATTCGAAATTAATGTAACTCACTATTTCTGTTTTATATCCGTTTTATTGTTTAGTCTATATTGTGTTAGACTGTTCGTTTTAAAATAATAAAAAAAAAAACACTTTCCTTTGAAAGTGATTTTTTTGAATTAACACATTGCTTCCATTCATTTCAATTTACGAATATTTACTAGCCATTTATAACAATATTCTTAGACATGGTAATTCGGTTCCCAATTCATAGTATTTATTTAAAACTTTATTGCAAGAACAGCAATAGAGCGGCCTTAATGCCAAGGGCATTCTCTACCAGTAAAAAAAATGTACGGCGATTAAAGAATGCAGAAATCGAAAAGAAAAACAAAAGGATATATTAATAATAGATATACAAATTAATAATACACATACATTATATTTAAAGATTTTAAGACATACTTAACAATAAAATACTATATATGCATATAAAATACAATAATATATACTATATATAACGTCAGTTTACTTATGGGGAAACTATGGACTACTGAAAGTGTTCACGCGCTAGTCTCTTGAACACATCTTTGCTTTGTGTTTCTTTATACATGTCTTCAAATAATTAATCTAAATGTCTAAAAATAAAAAAATATTAATATCATACAGTACGTTAAAACTAATAAAAAATTATATTTATATCCTCATGTCATGAAGGTAGATTCGTTATAATTCATCGTCAGAAATTTGTTTCATATAAGTGAGTAAGCACAAATATCCTCCAATATTTGAATACTGTAGTAGGTTGCTACATTAAAAAACCAAACAACGATACATATAACCTGTAGGGCAATTTTGATCAATTAGCGTAATTAAGGAAAGTCAATAGTGCTTCAATTACAATACTTTATGACACAGTTCTTGTTAATAGACCGCAAAATAATAAAAACACCTGATGTGTGGAAGACATTGCACTAATAATATTGGACTTCAGGTAGAGAAAGTACAATGGCAAAATTCAATTAGTTGAGATTATATTGTGATGCGATTGTTACGTGAAAATTAGTAGAATTGAGGCCCAAATCTCCCCTTGTCGTTCGATGACTGAAAGTGGATAAATGGGAACTCTTATATCTATACCAATATTATAAAGAGGCAAAATTTCCTACTTTGTTTCTGGTAATATTCGAAAATACTGATCCGATAATGAAAATTCTTTCACCTACGGAAAGCTGCATCATACGCGGGTGACATTGGTACGTATATGTGGGCGGAGTTGCGGGGAAACAGCTAGTGAGTTAATAAATTAGTTATGAATCTCATGTGTGTAACACTTGTTTTGTTGTTGACAGTTGAACTTCCAACAATATCTTTCATTGGGCACTGCTAGAGACTTCAGGATCAGAGCTCCTCTACTGCAGGAAGCTTTACAGGCGAGAGAGCAGCCTCAGGAGGACATCGATCTGACCAAAGATGAGGAAGGTGATTATCTTAACTATCAATACCTATAACTTTACTGTTTTCACACATACTCGCCGGATTTTATGGCTTCTGACATCACCTAACAGCAGGCGATTGATTTGAAAAGTGTAGGCCATGGCCTCCCTCGGCTTCTGTATTCTTCTACAATAACTTGTTTTGTCATTCTTTTAACGTGGCCTAACCAACGCATTATGTTTCTGTTGATTTTTTACACCGACGCTATCTTTCAAGACAACTCTCTCTTCATTCCGAATGCGATCTGCGAGCGTTATTCTGCAAATTCTATCATAACTAAATATAATAAAGTACAACGGTTTTGAAGTAGATATTGGCGGCAATACTGCGATATTAATATATATACTAAAGTAAGAAATATATTTTTAAAACTGTATTGCACTGAAAGAGCAGCAGCATTTTTGATTAATTATAATTACAAATAGTACTAACAAATATCTTGTTCGAACTTTCATGCACTTGCAACAGCGCTGCAATATCGGGAACTTTATAAGGTACACGGTAATAGTGATGTCATAAATAATAATTTAAATAACAACAATCCATTTATCATAATAATATGTAACAGCTTGTGGATTTTCTTCAGTAAGTCAATTTTGTTCCTCGTAGCTACTTTTCAATAGGGTATTTTAGTCATAACGAGAAAAAATTGAGTTAGCTTAAACATTTGAAATTGGTGTTAGTGTTTCGGTTAATGACAGTACTTAATCATATTTACTAATTGGTTGTTTTATGATATATATGTTGTATTTAAAAAAAATATTAATCGTATTCAAAGTGTCACTTATTATTAGTTTATAGCAAATGTTGTGCACAATTGTACCACAAGATATACCTAAGTATTAATTTAATGTAAGTTCTGTTATAAAGTTGTATGTTTGCTATGTTATATTATATGTAATTGTGCCTTAATAATAAAATAAAAATAAATAAATAAATAACATTTATGGAGATTAATCGAGTTCTTCAATAATCTCATGTTATGAAGGGCAGATGTTTTAATAAAATTATTTGAACAATACCTTTAATCATTAACGTGATGGCTCTCGAAAGATTTAACTTTGCTTACAATTCGATTCTTCATATTCAAACCAGAAAAATACCTTTAGAACTCATATATTTCATTTTCTCAATCAGGCATGTATATTTTTACAAAAAAAAATATGTTACTTTAATTAAATCTAAATTTCAATTTTTAGCAAATTATTTGAATAATTTGTATGTATCTTATGCGTATGGTACATATTATAATTATAATTTTAAACACCATATTGTAATGACCAATAAAAATATTGTTACTTGTGATGAGTACCGACAGCGCCATCTATATTTTTTTGTAAAGAAAATTAAATCTTCTTAGCGAGATCCTATGGTTTTTAAATAGCAATATTTTTGTTAGCAGATGATGTCAATATAAACGACGCAGAGACTGAAATATTATCGCCGGCGCATTCTGATGAGAGGAATAGCGATGCGGATGATGAAGAAACTTCTAGAAAAAAACGTAGAAGGGTTTCTTAAAGTAGTGATTGTATTGTAAATATATTGTTTTTTCTTAATTGCTGTTTTCATTTACAAAACCATTGAGAATATGTCATTATAACGAAAATCTACGAAACGAAAATCTATCTACTATTTATAAAATATATTTTAACTGACCAATATCCTAAATACGGAAGTCATTGTCATACGGAACATATTAAGTGCAGGTATCTTCTATATCTTTCATTTGAGAAACCATTTTTAGTTTAGTGTTTTAACTTCGTATTATGAAGAAGTTTTCTGATAAATGGTCTTAATGAAAAAGAGTACTTTGTCCCTGGTACTCTTGAGATGGGATTCAACGTACCAGCCGCTCTACGCCAAGCAGAGGATAGGGTAGTGTGGAAGCTAATCATCAAGGCTTCAGTGATGTCAACGCAACTTTCATAAGAGACACGACCTTCAGCAATGAAGACAGTGACCAAGAAGAAAAAGAAGAAGATTATAATAATAAATTTTCTAATTTTAAATTAAATTTATTTTGACTTTCTTTTTCTCACAATGCCCTTCTTCAATCTTAGCGTCAACAAATTAATTATCAACCGACAGATATCAACATAACGAATATGTGTTAAATAACCTATTCGATACGTCCTAGTGGGCATTTATTAGGTTTTGAATTCGTGGTTTTTGGGATTTTATTCGGTATACAATAATAAACAGATTATATAGGATTAAATTTTATAAGTATTTAAATTTTCATCATCATCAGCCCCTTTACGTCCCCACTGCAGGGGCCCAGGTTTTCCGTATGGATGGTTAAGGAGGATGGGACAATACCCTCCACTCTAGCCCAATGCGTATTGGAGGGTATTAACGACTTTAAACAAATCCGGGATCAACGGCTTAACGTGCCTTTCGAACCACGGAGTAACTCAAGATAATAATTTTTGGTCACCCATTCCATGACCGACCCTTGCGAAGGAGCTCAACAACAACGATCGTGGGCTGGGTCGCTTATCCACTACGCTACCGAGCATTTTCATACATTCAAATTAAATTTTAAACTGTAATATCTTGGTCATTAATTTAATTAACTGATAATAGTTAAAATAGGTATCGGCATCCAACTAATAGCAATGAATCACCACAATTTCGAGGAAGTGACGTGCCGTAGCCGCAGTCGGAATTTACAGCGATGCATGTAATTATGTGGAGGATATCAATGCATTTCCGTTGTATTCTGACCCTGTCCGCAAATTGCTACATTTTCTCGTGAACCATTACGAACCGAATTCCACGTACGTGACCCGTTGTTGGGGTCATAGAGGGGCTTTACGTTGAATCGTGACAAAATGGTACTAGTTCCTTTAATATAGACAGATAGATTAAGTAGTTCATTTGCATCACAAACGCGTGTATGTAAGAGAAATTGATAAATATTATTAAATCAAAGTAAATTAAACCACATCATCTTCATCATCAGCTCTTTTATGTCCCCACTGCAGGGGCTCAGGCCTTTCTCGTGGATGGTTAAAGAGGATGCTTAACCCTCCACGCTGGCACAATGCGGATTGGAGGTTATTAACGACTACAAACGCAGCAGCTAAGACCAGCGGCTTAACGTGCCTACCGAAGCACGGAGTAGATCGAGATAATATTGTGGTCACCCATCCGGTGACCGCCCTTGCGAATGTTTATTAACAACACCGATGGCGGATCACGGCACTTTAACCACTATGCTACCGAGCTATTCATCCTTTATTGTAGTATAGACCTACCATCCATTCGGAGGGCTTTTAGCTGTTAGAAAAATGAGCGCAGAAAGCGGTAATTTGTGACAATGATAATATTTTTTTTTTTAAATTTAATTATCAACAATCTTTATGGTTAACATAAGTTGGTTTACTTGCATCATGTAAACCACTAAGGTTCGTAACACATGCAAGAATTTATATAAATTACATTACAAAAACTTAAATAAATATATGACATTACATAACACAGATTAATATTTGTTTTAATATATTAACTGCATTTATTTTAATTACTTCAATCACATACAAATTAAGTAGATTTATGGTTATGGTACTATTCTATTGATATGGTACTATTCTAAGAAAGAGAATATTTTTTTAATCAAGTTTATCTCTAAGTTCGCACGTTAGTTTATTTATCAAACGAGGTAGAATAAAATCAATAGTTCTTTCACCGTACACATTCGTAGCTCTGCTTGTGCGTAGCCGGTTTTGTGCTATTGCACGTGTGAATACAGTGTTCGATTTTGTCGAATTATAAAACACATTTGATGTATAATTATGTAGAGATCACTTTTACAAAACTGTTACGAAAATGGGCAGGTATTAGTGTATTGATAAAATGAATTCAAAGGGCTTCAATTCGTTTCATTGTCTGTTCATTACCTATTTTTTTAAATACTTTAATTATATCAAACTACTTTAAGAAATATCGGACAAGTAATTAGTATTAAATTTATTGTAATTAAATAGGTAAGTAGTTGTATAAAAAGGAATATGTCAATCCTATTAATATTATAAAGGCGAAAGTTTGTAAGTATGGATGTATGGATGTTTGTTACTCTTTCACGAAAAAACTACTGGACGGATTTGGATAAAACTTTACAGCAATATAGGTTATACATCAGAATAACACATAGGGTACTTTTTACTGGGAAAACTTCTCACTCCCACGGGATACCGACTTCCACGCGGACGAAGTCGCGGGCGTCCACTAGTCTTATATATGTACTTAAATCCTTCGCGAAAATTCATATAACTTAAGGTAGACATCATGACAAAAATAATAAGAAGACATCTTTTAGTTTTTTTTATATTAAAATTAGTACATAATTGTTGCGTCTAAAACATAGGTAGTTCGTGGTTGTGTTTCTTATGACATGATTGTTAAGTTAAACACATGTGTTCGTGTTTTTTTTAAATATTCCGTGTTATTGTTATACAAATAACGCTTTTCATGGAACGCGGGCACCCGCTGCGTGCAGCCGATTTCGCTGGAAACATCGACGGTTAGGTGATCAGTAGGTATTTGTTTTTTGTTATAATTATAAATTGTTATCATTTCTGCGTAACTTCAGCTGTAGACTACAGTTATAGTTGGTTATATGTATTTCGTAAAATTATTGAACAATTCCATAAGAGGTAGATGGTTTATGCGTAACTTTCATCGTATCACACAGCGCATACAATTTAATGCTATCTAAAAGTAAAATACTCTCCTATTTTTGCAACCTTTTACGATAAATGAACTATCCAACACTAAAAAAAAATCCAATCTGTAGCTCCGACATTAGCGAGTTCAACCAAACAAACAAACTCGTCAGCTTTATTGTGCTAATTAATATTATTTATAAATCAGTTTACCACAAAGACTTCTAAGTATTTATCGACATAAAAAATAATAAAAGCCCCTACATATTAGCTTCTGAATATGATATCTCAGAACATGCCTGACTAAAGATAGGTTTTCTTTGAATTCAATTCATTTATTAGCATGACAAGAATTTCCGGCACGTCGATCTCTCCGTTTGACTAAAATTTTGCGAAAATGTAAATTGATTTACATATCTCGCCTATGTGTCCCTGACGTTCTAATCCGGTTCCAGCAACACGGGTTTCTTCCTATGGAATAGTTGTTCGTGTTTCTGAGTATTTAATCAAAGGTAGGGGAAGGGAGGGCAAGATGGAAGGAGTGGGCAAAATGCTGCCATACACAGAGAGATACGTGGGTGTGATTTAAGGTTGATATTTAGTCCAGTCAGTAAAACGTACAAGCTATGTATTTATTTGATAAGAAAATCGAGTGTACAGATTGATAAAATAACCAAAACAAAATATTTATTAGGTTATAACACCGCACGGGTAAGATGGAAATTTTAAGTTGAGGGCAAAATGGAAGGAGTAAAAAAAATTAATGTGATGACAATGAACAAAAATACTACTGTAAAAACAAAGGGAAATATAAAGGATGGGGAAAACTGAAAATAACAGAGAAAGGTAAAGAAATAATGATATCTCAGTTTCATTATATCTGTCGTATATAATAGGTACGTAAGCTAGAAAATGGTTGTACTTTATGTGTTAATTAAAAAAAATCCTGAAGTTGTAATAACATCATGACATTTTATATTTGTAACAGTAACATTAAAAAAATGATTTTTTTTTAAACTAGGCTAGATTTTAAAAGCGGAGGTTTTGTTGTCAACTTCAACTGTTTGATTTTAATAAAACTATTATGAACATATGAATAGGTATCTATTGATGTAACGTAAAAATCAAATAATATTATTTTCAGCGATCGATGTTAACTTAAAATTTTGATGGGACCGTCTCAAGCTTTCGAATAAAAATAAAAGAATTTTGAAAAATCGGTGCAAATACTTAAAATTCTAATCCTCGAACTGCAGTAAGCACCTCCTTTTTTTAATAAAAATTGTTCGATGGTATAAAATTGTAATCCTCGAACTTCAGTAGGCACCTCCTTTTTTTAATGAAAAATTGTGCGATGGTATAAAAACTTTCCTTTTCGAATCCGATTTGCACTCGGAAGATGTTTACTTATGTCTTCATTTAATATTATTTTATACTCACTACTACTCACTCGTCCTCCTCCTGTCTGGAGGGAGGTCGACAGACAGGGCGGGATTTGAAGAAATCGATGGAATGGGATATATTGTAGTTTCTTATACAATATTTGGGAAAGTTCCATAATTTTTTCTAATAAATTCATTAGCACAAGGTATCTCGCTGACGATTTGAGAAGCGATGGTGTAGTTTTCGACTCTACAAAGAACTCATTAATAGGCCGAACGTGCATAGGAACTATTGTTCCATACTAATATTAGCGATCTGTGTACTAAAAAGGTTGAAATAGATATTGGAAATTCGTCATTGTCAGAGATAAAATTATGAAACTTTATATTCAGGTAAAAATAATATTTGCTTTAGCGTTTTTAGAAATGCTACCCAAAGTAACTTACCACGCAGACGGAGTTGCGGGAAAAAGCTAGTTGATAATAATTTGATGTTATTTATTT